GGATTCGCAATAACTCATGAAAATTATAAACAAGCATGGGAAACACTGTTGAATCGGTATGATAATCAGAGAGAATTGGCATTTTCCCAATGCAAAAAGGTTCTTCTCTTTAAGAAATGTTAAACCCACTTCAGAATCAATTTGGGCCATGATAGACGTTTGTAATGAAGTACTCAGAAATTTTAAAACATTAGGATTAGAATGCAATCAATTGGTAGAACTTCTATTAGTATTTTCTCTTCAAGATAAGTTGGAAGATTCTATCAAAGTCAAATGGGAATTAACCCTTGAAGATAAAAATTTTCCTTCATTAAATAAATTTCTTTCATTTCTTGAAAAGCAGGCCAGAAGTCTTCAAGGTATCAAAATTACACCACTCAACGAAAAATCAAATAAAGTATCTCACAAGCCTTATTCACTTAAAACTACTGTAGAGTCAGATGACTCATGTAAACTTTGTTTTTCCTCTCATTCATTACATAGATGTGAAAAGTTTTTAAAGATGAATATAAATAATCGCTGGAATTTTGTTAAAAAGTCAAAGTTATGCTTTAATTGTCTGCGAGGGAATCATAATGTTTCCTCATGCAAATTTACAACTTCTTGTCGTGCTTGCAAGCAAAGACATCACACCGTACTTCACCAGTTCCAAAGTAGTCCTAGAGAAATCCCTGTTAGTAATTCAAACCAAAATCTAGCTGCTACTAGTGACCAGAATGTAGTTCAGCCATTGGCTACATCTCAGGAACAGTTTTGCCTTGCAGGACAAATGAATTATTCCAATTCAATTTTGCTCTCTACAGCCATTGTTAGAGTTAAGAATAGTCAAGGACAGTATGTAAACTGTCGAGCCTTGATTGATGGCGGGTCTCAGACCTCTCTAATTACAGAATCATGCTCAAAAAATTTAAACCTTCCATTTTATGAGTCAGAAAATACTATTTTGGGTTTAGATAACAAAGTTGCTGCCTATGCTACTAAACGAGTAGAACTTCAACTTTCTCCTCATTTTAGTCAGGATATCTTTGCCGTAAATGCTTTAGTAGTAAAGGAACTCACTTGTAATTTGCCTAACTTCATAGTTTCAAAATTCGATTGGCCTCACATTAATGGACTACAGTTGGCTGATCCTTCGTTTTATATTAGTCGACCTGTCGATATGATTCTGGGAGCTGATGTATTCTTTGATTTAATTCTGTATGGAAAAATATCTGGGACTAAAAATCAACCATCTGCTCTAAACTCCAAGTTAGGCTGGTTGCTTTCTGGAAAAGTTTCCACAGCCTGTCAGAGCCAAAAGAAGGTCATGTCTTTAATCAATTGCCATGCATTGCTTGACTTACAAAATCAAATAGCCAAATTCTGGGAAGTTGAGTCAATTCCAGATGCTAGTAACCTCTCAGAAGAAGATCAAAGAGTCGAAAATTCTACCTCGATCACACAAGGAGAAATCGTGATGGTAGATATGTTGTAAGTCTTCCTTTCAAAAACGACAATGCATTGGGTGATTCTAAAGTCCAAGCCAAGAGACGATTCTTCTCGTTGGAGAAGCGCCTTCAGGCCAATCCAGAGTTAAGAGATAGATATGCAAAATTCATGCAAGATTATGAACATCTAGGCCATATGAAACTTGTCCCGAATTCAGAACTTTCGAAATCATCTTCTAAGCGTTTTTATTTACCCCATTTTGGAGTTGTTAGGGAACAGAGCGAGACTACAAAGTTACGGGTAGTCTTTGATGCTTCTGCCAAAACTGATTCGAACTTATCCTTAAATGACATTCTTCATACAGGCCCCAAGTTACAAAATGAACTATTTAATATTCTATTAAAATTCAGATGTCACAGGATTGCTTTAACAGGCGATATAGAAAAGATGTTTAGGCAAATTCTAGTTAATGAAGATGATGTAGAATTTCAACGAATATTCTGGAGGGAGATACCTGAAGAATCGTTAAAAGAGTATCGATTACTTACTGTAACATATGGGACAGCTTGTGCTCCATATTTGTCCGTTAGAACAATTCAGCAGCTAGCTGAAGAAGAAATCAAGAAAGTTTCCAGAGGCATCTAAAAAGTTGCTCTAGAGGACTTCTATGTAGATGATCTTATAACAGGAACAAATTCGAAAGAAGACGCCAAGAAATTAGTAAGTCAAGTAATCGAACTCATGAAGAAAGGAGGTTTCCCGATTCGAAAATGGGCGTCCAATGAATCATCTGTGCTGGAATCATTACCTACAGAATTACGAAGTTCTTCGGGATCTCTGCACATAGAAGAGGATCATTTGATGAAAATCTTGGGAATCATATGGAATTCCAAGGAAGACACATTCAGAATCAACATAAGTCCACCAAATGAAGTTAGGCCAACCAAACGGCAACTCTTATCCACCATCGCTAAGATTTATGATCCTTTGGGATTCCTGTCCCCAACGACAATTCAGTTGAAGATCCTGATGCAAGATATCTGGAAAGAAAACATCTCTTGGGATGATCCTGTCACAGACTGCATTTTCGAATCATGGACACAATTCAAGAATCAAATGAAGCACCTAGCAGAGATTCAGATTCCAAGATACCTTGCAGAAGACGCTACAGCAAAGCGAGTTCTTATAGGTTTTTTGTGATGCCTCCCAGCGTGCATACGCTGCTGTTTTCTACTTAAGAACTGAGCTGGTTACCGGAAAAGTCCATGTTTCAATGATAACATCTAAGACAACCTTGCCCAGACTCGAACTTTTGGCAGCTCTGCTTCTTTCTGAACTCTACGTTGTTGTGTTAGAATCTCTGAGAAAAGTAATTCAAATCGATAAGTCATTTCTTTTCTCAGACTCCCAAATTGTTTTGGATTGGCTAAAATCATCTCCCAGCAGATGGAAAATCTTTGTTGCCAATCGTATCTCAAGAATTCAAAAAATGACTTCTGAAGCATCCTGGCATCATGTGAAGAGTCAAGAAAATCCTGCCGATTGTGCTTCACGAGGTATTGCAGCTTCCAAGCTAAAAGTTCATAAACTGTGGTGGTCTGGGCCACAGTGGCTAAGTCAGGATTCTTTACACTTTCCATCAATTGATTTGTCGACTTCCTGTGAAGAAGACGTGAAATGTGAGGAGAAATCATCCACCGTTCTTACTAATGTCTCAACATCAAGTCAAGGCAGCTATTTATTGGAAATCATAGCTAAGTATTCATCCTTCTCACGTTTAATTCGAGTCATAGCGTGGTGTAAAAGATACATCAAAAATTGCAGATCATCTAGAGTTACTGGTGTGCTAACATCAAAAGAGGTAGATGATGCTACCAAGATAGTTATTCAAACTGTACAAGAATCACAGTTTCATTCCGAAATTCAACTCTTAAATAAGAAACATCCTCTTCCCAACAGCAGCAAGCTTCTGCCTCTAAGTATTTTTCTGGACACCGATGGAATAATCAAAGTTGGAGGAAGATTAAAAAATTCGAGCCTGAGTCCAATTCAAAAACACCCAATTCTCCTTCCTAAGAGCCATCACCTCACTAATCTGGTCATTCAGCATTTTCATCATATCAATTTGCACAGTGGACCTCAACTTACCTTATGCTGCATTCGACAGAAATTCTGGATTCCTTCTGGCAGAGGAGTAGTCGGAAGACTTTTATCCAAGTGCCAAACCTGCTTTCGCTTCAAAGCTAAATCGGGTGAGCAGCTCATGGGGAATTTGCCTGCAAATAGGCTCAGTGCTGGCAGAGCGTTTTTAAACGTTGGCATCGACTTTGGAGGACCATTCATCACCAAACCCAACGTTTTCGAAGCAAAGTAAAATTAAAATCCTACCTAGCACTCTTCATTTGCATGGCCACAAAGGCTGTGCACCTTGAGGTTGTTTCGGACCTCTCAGCAGATGCCTTTTTGGCAGCATTCCGGCGCTTCATATCCAGACGAGGAAAACCAACCAACATGTTTTCCGACAATGCAACTAACTTCAAAGGAGCCTCTTCATATTTAAAGGAACAGTTAAAGCTAATCAAATCTGTTGAAGTGCAGAACTTTGTAACTCAAGAATCCATTACATGGCACTTCATACCTCCCACGGCAGCTCACATCGGCGGACTCTGGGAAGCTGGCATCAAGTCGACCAAGCAGCTTCTAATTAAAACAATGAAATCAGCTGTTCTGAACTTTGAAGAGCTTGTGACATTGGTAACGCAGATTGAAGCATGCTTAAACTCAAGGCCTCTAACTCCTCTGTCTAATGACCCTCAAGACCTGCAACCTCTTACGCCAGGACATTTCTTGATTGGTGCTCCAATGGCTTCTTTTCCAGAAGAGGTCCCTTCACAACCAGCGTGCTTAAAGAAGCGATGGAATTTAATTCAACATCTCCGAAGTCAGTTCTGGAGGAGATGGCACCTGGAGTACCTAAATCAATTACAACAAAGAACCAAGTGGAATAAACCAAGATGAAACCTGAAAGTCAACGATATGGTCCTTGTGAAGGAGGACAATCTCCCACCTCTGCAATGGAGCCTAGGCAGAGTTGTTCAAGTATTTCAGGAGACGATGGTGCTGTTCGAGTCGTGGATGTCAAGACCCAACGAGGACAATTCAGACGTCCTATTACGAAGTGTTGCCTACTGCCAACTGAAGACTGAACTGATAGTCCAGGCGGGGGAGTATGTTTACAACTACCGTCAACAGAGGGCGCCACGACAAAGACTTTAAAAAATATGTATCTGTTTTCTGTAACGCCATTTTTAGGCGAATTGAGTCAGTTCTGAAAATCGAATAAAGATGGTTAATTTTGTGGTGTGAATTCAAGTCGAATAAATCTCAAGAAAATCCCCAAAAGGAGTCATCTATTGTTTCTCATTTTCAGAATTAATGTTGGTGAGTTTATTTAAACTTAGCTTTCCGGGAAAAAAGGTAAGCCAATCATTTTACTATTAAATGAACTTACAAATCTAACAAACAGAAATAATAGTTCAACACCATATATAAAAAGGAAAAGGGATCCTTGTGCCCCTGTAGCGCAATGGGTAGCGCGTTGGAATTCTAATCCAAAGGTCGTGGGTTCAAATTCCACCTAGGATGGCCTAATTTCTGAGAATGTGATTTCTTTTTACAATACTATTTTATTGGAAAAATTAAATTTAATTTATGAATAAATAGCAACTAACAAAAATAATAATCCAATAATATATATAGAAAGGAAAATGGAAAATCGATTTTTTGCCACTTTCTTCTCATTAAACAATTACAATATTATCTAAAATAAAATTTTCTTTCTTGACCTAAGTAGGAATTGACTTAAAGAAAAAATTTTATACTACTTGTTGCAAAGACTTGTTATGCAAAGACATATGAACTTTCTCCTATAGTCAAAAAATGGCCTTATTGATACTTTACTTAACCTAACAGGGCCATATCTAAGGATCTTAAATTAGACTTTGTTCAAAGAGGGGTTTTTTCGCAAGAAGCTATTACGCTGTAAAAAAGAAACTTATGTTGTAGTATCGATAAGGAACTGTATACTTTGACGCCTACTCAGTAATAAACTTAAGGCAGCAATGGCGTGATGTGAGCAAGAAAATAAATGTAGGACATGTTTCATCAGGAACAAATTGATCAGTATAACAATTACAACAAGACAGTAAATATAACAGTATAAAGAAATAAATATAGGCTTAGACACACACACACACACACATGCATATAATGTATATGCATGTATATAAGCCTTTCGATACAACTATGTGATTATGTCTAATTTTAAAAACTAAATGACTCTAAATACCTCGAATTCAAGTGTTTATTATAAAAATACAGATTTACGAAATTAAAATTATTATAAAATAATATATATTTTTATAAAAGTTTCTTCACTAATTCAGCAGTATTTTATTTTGCAAACTAGGGGAACTAAGACTTTCATCTGTTTGCAAAAAAAAACCCATGAAAATAGGTTAAAAGTGCATGCAGGAAATTTAAAATGCTTATTTTTGTTATTTAATATAAAATATTTTTTGAATTTACCAAATTGTTTCAAGCATGTGTATTCTCGTATTGTTCGCTAATACTTATGCAATACTAACAATGCAAGTATTCATGTAAATAGTTATGCCATGCAAATACAGATGACTGGTGCTATAAAAGCACTCTATTTTATTATTGTCTCTCTCCCTTTCTCCATCTTTCTCTAAGCGGGTAAAATAATTTTATATTTCTCTTCAAATATAGGAGATTTTCAAATATATTCAACATATTCCTTGTTTTTGTCTATTATATATTGTTCTGTGACGATATGTTTTTAGAATTTGGAGCAAAGCCAAAAGTTAAGATGAATATTTGCATTGTTTAAAAATTTAGTGCGTTTAGTACAGTGGCTCAGTTAGCTGCGGCTCAAACATTCTTGCTGTACATCGATTTAAAGTGACATCTGTCTTCACAACTTTCATTAAAATTTTATTGTTATCCATTTGAATGCAGAGGAAATGCATAAGGCATAAAGTTTATAATATAACTACATTTCCATATGTGTGTTTAAAATTCTTTTCGTTGTATTATGTAAGGCAATTATCTGTAATAGTTTCTTAAATAACACTGTTAATTATTAATGCCATACTTTAAAGCAAGAAGGGACCCTTTAAAGCAATACTATTGTAGCAATACGTGATTTGTGCTACTTACAACGGACCTCATAGTAGTAAACCACGGTTAAGTAGCGAGAACGAGACACCTCAGGTGGCACCCCTTTTTCCGAACTTCCCCACCCACTCAAGATGAGAATTTTGAATCGCGACAGATTTTAACGTTCAGGTTGGGCGTTGGGAATTTTCCGTTTTGAAAATGCAATAAAACACACTACATGTTTCATTCGACTTTATTGTTATTTTCTGCCCTCCACACAATACTGAAACTTTGAATTTACACAGATTTAAACACAATAGCTTTTAAATGTCGCCCTCCATTATCATTGCCCTGATGCGGTCGATTTCGAAAACTTTGAGTCACCTTTTCAAGCATATCGACCGGAATATTGTCAATTTTAGCTTGGATGTTCCATTCGTCTTCCTGGGGCTTGAAACGATCTTTGTTATCCAAGGACTTGACACAAGCTTATAGGAAATAATCAGGAGGGGATAAATCAGGTGAGAGTGCAGGTCAATTTACGTCCCTTCGCAGGTGGATCAGTCATTTGAGGAAGGTTGATCCACCTGCGAAGGAACGTAAATTGGCACGTGCTCCCTCACCTGATTCCTCCTCTGTCTTAAAAAATAGGAAGGCTGTTCTTAAAACACCCATGGAAACCCTGGAGTGGTGGGCTGTGTCCCCATCTTGTTGTAACCACACGTTGTCAAGATTCTTTCCTTTCTTGGAGAGCGGATAAGATGAATTGTTGGATCATTGCCATATAACGGTCTGAATAGACACGTGAACTCGTTCCACATTTTCATGTATTCTGACGGTCTTCGGAAATCCTTTCCTTTCTATGGAGACATTCTCCGTTGCTCAGAAGGCGTCCATCCACATTGAAACACATTTCCGATCAGGAACACGACCTCTTGGAGAAATATGGAAGTGACGATAAAAGGCACGTTATACTGCAATCACCGACCGATCGTTGGAGAAATACGCCTTCACAGCAAAAGCATGCTGCTACCTCGACCACAACATGTTTGAGACTGAGAGGGGTGGAAGCACAAATATCCCACTCCACCCTTTCAAATGAATCCTTTCCGCCCCACTATACCCCCTCAACCCTCTCCTCCTTACGAACATCACTGCAACATGTTCAAAGCAGGAAGTTCCCGCGCTCTATCCTGTACATCAGTCTCTCAACACTGTTTATTTTCAGTGGCGCCCTGATTCAGATTCATGAATCAATAAAAGTAACATCGACCACGACTTTACGGCCAATCGACTACCATTTTACTTTAGTAAAACAAATATTTAAAAATGTATATTAAATTATATACAATTATAAATAATTTATTATTCATAATTTTTGTAATGCAGTACAGTTCTAAGATCTTGGCACTCTAGATAACTCTAGTACGCCCTTGCAGCTTGAAAAAAGCCTACATTCAGACCCGTGTTGTTGTTGTTGTTGCTCATGCCACCTGTCTGACAGAGTCAGATCGAGGCCCACGAAATTCATTGTGGCAATGGGCTAGATGTACGACTGTCGTTGGCCTTAGCCTTGAGCACCATACAGGTGACAGTACGATTTAGCTCGGTGAAATTCCCGCAGGGACGATAGAACATTACGATAGATGGTGCCACCATATATCTCCACATCCACAATTTAGGCATGGAACTGAAGTGGAAGGAAATTTTCTCCAGTTCCGTGCACTCGTGATTCAGCCTACAAGACTTTCAGACTTGGTGATTTAACGAGCACGTACTCCGGTGTACTCGGAGGGTATCTGGCGGTACGGGCATCGAATCCAGGCCTTCTGGTCCGGAGTCCAGTGCTCTAACCACTAGGCTAGACCCCTGCGTCAGACCCGTTTAAAGGTAATGATGAAGACGTTAATGTTGAGGACATTGCACAAACTTCTAAAATGTCACATAATGAGGGACTAAAGTCTGTCGAAACCTACCGTTAATATTTTGAACAAAGACGTGCGTCGGAATTGGATTTATTATACCTTACAGTGGCATAGTGTGCACTTGCTCAACCCTCGCATCGCGAAGGAGGTCCAGGGCTCTAGAGGGTCCAAACCCTGACTGACGTCAAGTACCTACCCTTTGTAGAATTCAACTTGAGGGCCCAAAAACCTACACTTTGCATAGCCCGACCGTTGTTCTCCGTTGCGCCACTGGCTCCTTCGTCGCTTTCATGATGAAGGAGCAAAACGCAGAGTTCAGTACGGAAGACAACATGACATATGTAACGCATTTATTTTAAGAAAAGTAGCCAGTTTTTGCGAAGTCGGCTATTTAATTTTCATTATATAGACAGCTTTATATCTTCATAAATTATTTTTCTGAGGTGTATCTGATCAGGTAAATTACTGCATACTATGTATTCTTTAATTTTCAATTCCATGTAGTAACTGCTGTATGTCTTCATAAAGTAGGTACTTTTCCTTTGTTTAAGGATACTTGGGCAGTTTATTTTCGGTTGTAATCTCAAGCAAACAATACACAAAAGAGCAATACAATATTTTCTGAGAAAACACTCGTACTTTTTTTTAATCCCATTATCGTCATTATTGCATTGTTATAACATTACAGAATTAGTTGTAACACATAGAATGTAATGAAATACGTTATTTTTAATAATGATGATAAGTTATTGATTTATAGAGTAACAATAATTTTGTAACTTTATATCCATCATTAATTTTGACGAATTTTACAATAGTACACTGAAAGTTCAATATATTGTATGTATTTAAACGTTATTAAATACTTACAGTTAAAACATATATTACAGTAGGGTCCAAAAAGCGCTCGACCTAATATCGATCGAAGGGTGGCCAAGTTTGAGAAAATGTCGAATTATCGATAATGAGATTGAAAAAGAATAAGTACGCGAGTGTTTCCTCGGAAAATATTGTTAAAAAAATATTTATTTGAACTAAAAAAATTATTTATTTCCGTTTTTTCTTTCATATGTTGTATGTTATTTTATATTTTAGAACTACTTTAGAAACTGGGGATTTTGCTGTATTGTTTTGATTTTACCTTGTTGACGTATTTAATAATCCAAAAACATCAACAAATCCTTCTCAAAAAGGATTTGATGTTTACTATTATCTCTCAAAGGTCATATTCTTTAACAAAAGTAAATAGTCTTTAAAAGAGGAAATCATAAAAATAAAGTACTGTTTGCAACAGAATTTATCCGGTTATAATGTTGGAATAAGCTTACATAAAAATTTATTGCTATATTTTCCAAATACTTTTGTCTTATCAGTAAAATGTCTAAGTTTCTTGCCTGAATATTATGTGGATCTTTTGCAGGTTATGTTTCTCGCTATTTATCTTATGATAACTTATCTCGTATAAGGAGTCTTATTTCCAGGTGGGTTACATGTTTGTATATTTATAAGTGAGTTAAATATAAGCAATTTGCTTTTCGT